CCTCCCCCAGAACCACGGTCCCATCGATTTCGTAAATAGAACCTCTTCTCAAGTGCTTGATAGTTTTCGACAACCCCATAAATGATTCCTTCAGAAGATTGCAACCCCTCCCCCTTGTGAGGTCAATAGCACATGAATGATTCCCTCGATAAGTACACACATAATTATTAGGTTGTCCAGAAATTAATGCGGGTTTCGATGTGTCATACTTTATTAGACATTTTTCCGAGAAATTTCTTTCGATTGCTGTACTGTTGCACATCGTTGGAAAGCCCATTTCATTCTCTTTCTTTCACTGCTGTTGTATTTTGAAAGGGCTCGGGCCTCACTTTTTTCAAAGGTTTGAATCGAAGACGTCAAAGCAGTGGTTTGAGCAGTTCACTTCTATGAGTTGAAATTTGGAGAGGGTGCTGTGCAGACAGCTCGGAATAGGATTGCTGTGTGGGGCTAAGGATGTTGCAATAAAAGCACACTGCTTCGATGGCTCCGAAGCTTTCAAGTTAGGGAAATCTAGATTCGAACAAGTGAGGGGGTTACGGACGACATTCTCCTCTTGACGGCGGCCTTCTGAAGACCCGGCAGAAGAAGATTTCCAAACAAGTGTACGGCAGCCAGCAGCATAACCTTGAGCAAGCATACTGAAATTTTCGGAGCGCCTGAAGGTACTTGGGAAGGTAAGAAAGCTGGACAAGTGGGTACCGCATGAACTGACTGAGCAGCAGCAAAGTCACCTTGCAGGGATCTTGGCACAACTTTTTTACTCAACAAAAATGTCCGACTCTGGAAATTTCGTCATCCTCGACGGAAATAGGACCCTTTGCTATAGAATAGAGCAATTTTCCAAAATATTGTCAACAGCAACAAACATCATAAACTTTTTCCAAAGAAGAAATCGCACACTCCACGCCCGGCGTGTTTCCTGGCCTTCCGTAGTAATGATGCATCGCAGCTTTCTGAGCCCAGGAGAACTTGACAGAGCATCGATATCTATCCATAACTCCGACGTGATGCACCATGAAGAGCAAGGCCTCTAACCATCAAGACGGAACCGAACCGTTCTCTATGTTGAATCGGCCCCACCAATGTTCGCATAAACGACGCTCGTAAAAATGGCCTGACAGCCTAACATCGACATGCTTGTACAGTGAACTCTCAAGGATTCTCACCTTACCTAATTTTCCAGATTCAGCCATCTCGACATTGCGTCTTGGCAGTAAAAAGATTTGAACAGAGACATGGTGAAAAAGACTTTCGCCATACCGTCCGCGCTTCTTACGGTTCCTGTGATTCGAGATTGTGCATTATTTCAGCAAGCTTCTGCTCAGAAAGATGAGTGGTTTCCAACACTTATTTGAACTACTAGAAATATTGAGTCTGAGCTGAGATATTTTATGCGTATCTCCGATTAACACAATCGGGATAGAAAATCGAAAACCGTTAGAGCCCTGAAACACGGTTTGATTCAATGAAACCTTCCATTTTTCCTCAGAAAAAAACCCTAGAGGAAGTTGGAATCCTGTTCAGATGTCGTTATGGTCGAATGGTAGTGCAAGGACCAGAAAAAAACAGTTATTACGGATGAATTGGTTCTACCGTAACCACGTTTGAGGTGGGGAGCGCAGTGTCACATGTGATCGAGTTGTTTTCTTCTACGGTTGGGATGTTATTGAGCTCTAGCGCAATGGGGATTACGGTGATACCAATTCACCATACCGATAATTTGTTCTTGTGTGGTCGAGCGTATGGATCGGCAAAGAAACAATCAAACCGAGTGCTTGATCCTTCTTATCATCAATATGAAAGTTTCCAAAGACAACGTATTCCAGAAAGGGATTGATCGATTCTTTTATATATTTATTTTGCCCTTTATGGCGCTATCGCAATATACGGGGGCATTGCATATCTAAAAAAGCGCAGACCACCTGTTCGTTTTGTCAAAAACGGGATTAGGCCTTATTCAGGGGAGGAGAGACTCCAAGGTTTGTCAGCAGTTTTCATTCTTCCGCGGAGCTCTTGGCTTAGCTCTAGAGGATGCCCCTGGACATTTCAATAGCGCCCGCTTGTTATATCTACGGAGTTTACGGATCTTTCCTAAAACGTTGGTTTCACTACTACGGAATATCTTCCTCTTCTCAGCCAAGCTCTTTTTCGAGATGGCAATGTCCAAGCGATCCACAAAGCACGTTATCGGAAGCACTGCTCCCTCTCATTTTCCAATGGAAACCTTTGTTGCGATCAAACTCTCACAGGCTCAATCACATCCTTATAGAAGCATGTTCTTTATTAAATCCAAGGCAAAACATCAAATATTCACTGTACAGAAAGAGAAGTGAACACCGCAATGATTCCAGTAATCAACCAATACTGATATTTCTCAGTGTTTGTAGAGTGACTTGTGTCACAGTGGCATTGTAGTGAAGATACGGATGCATTCGTTCTTCGGGACTTAACGAACCCAGAACGACGATCACGCACAATAGCAGAATAAACGTGAGCCATGTGCCCAACAGCCACATCTTCTTGCGTCGCATCACGCACTCGCATGCGTGTTTAGACTTTTGGTACGTGATCGCTGGCAAACTGTATCGATAGACGGACATTCGATCTGCCGACATATGGCGCCATTTCACACGACGCACTCGTTGTGACGATTTCAGATGATTTTCCAACGTTTTGATTGAAATCACCGTGAACTGAAATGAAAAATCGATCCAAGGTGATCAGCGGAAAATGATAATGCTTTTTTAATGGACAGCCGCATCCCAAACTTGAAGTAAGGTATCGATCAATTGCTCCCAAAATTAGTAACCATTTGAGAAGTGCAGCAATAGGTCACCGCGCGACGCTGCCATCATTTGTGAGTACTGCGCGCGACAAATGCCTCGAGATCCCCCCTTCCACTCGGCTGAGTCCTCATCAAGACGCGTTATGTCTTACAGTTTTGGAAGACGTGCTTTTCAATCTGTGAGCAAACGTCTCCGGCCCAAGCTCCATATCAAGACACTTGCGCTAATGGGACCGGATGGTCCGAAAGAATTCCCTATCACGGAAAATTCGTATGTAGTGGTCTAAGGTTTGCTAGGAATAAATTTAGATAAAGGAATTCCCGAGTATTGTCGTACCTTATCAGATTTTTGATCCTTTATCCACATGAAGTAGTGATTTTCCTGTCGTGGTGAATTCTCGAGAAATTTCTTCAACGTACGTCGATTTCTTTCACCTAGTGAGGCGATGAATACGTCGGCTTGGGCACCCACAGGCTGCTCGCAGATCTGAATGTCACTAATATTTGCAAAATGCTATGCAAGCATATGATCCCGAACTTGATGATATATTAATAAATTTAATCGGTAGGAATGTCGAGTGTTAGGGCAAAAGGACCTACTACCTCAAGTACGAGCAGAAACAAATTGAAGACTATATTCGTGCACGAGATAACCGAGATCTCATAGGGATAATCAGCGAGCTAGGATCTTGAACCACTATAGTGCCGATATTTCGCACTCAAATACCGCACACCAGTTCAATGCATTCATTTTGTTTATGAATGTCCGAGAACCGCCAAATCATGAGTGATCGAGCTGGATTATATACGCAGAAAGGAAGAAACCGTACTCGACCAATTGGTAAATTGAGTGTAGCAGTTCATGAAAGCTACTACTTCTTTCTAAATATCTGAATTTATGACGGATTTTTGAATTCGCGTAAACGACAGCTACTTTCTTAATCGCAATTATTCATTAAATAGCTTGGCACTAATATTGCAGGTATACGGTCGGCGTTGGCATTGGGAGGATGCATGTGAGAATATGCTTGATTTTGAGACCGAAGACGAAACCTTAGCCGCCATTCCATACCAATTAATTACTGTTATCACCTCGCACCAGATAAATAGCTGATGATGGCCTAAGCTCCGTCCCAACGAATATATACAGGGTGGCCAAAAAAAAGACACTTCACTCAACAAAACGAACAAAAACTACAAAACCCAAAAAAACGTTGAAAATTTCTACGGGGTTTTTTTTTTTTTTTTTTTTTTTCTTAACTCGCGTCGCTGAAATCAAACCGAAATGACCTCAACTGATATGGAGAGATCACTTACATAATCCATCACATTCACCAAGTGCTCGTGTCACTAGCTACATCAACAGGCAACTACACCATTTTCGATTACCGACATCAGGAGAAGATTTTCCCACGGAAGCATTGTGCGCGGTACGATCTCAACGAGGTCGTTGAGATACCATAGACGATTACGACGTCTCTGAAACGCAGGTCAAAAGCGGTTTTGCACATTCACAGCTAATGTCTCTGGGAAGCTATTCAACAATTAATTCACTGAGGAAATTGTGTAGCAGCTTCAGGTCGGAGCGATTTCGGTAAGCCTCGTTGAGCTCGACGGTGACGGCAGATGACGTCATATTCTGGAGACGGCAGGCAGTGAAGGAGTGCTTGCTTCTGTTAACGGAGGAACAACTAAGGAATATAACGCCATAAAACTTTCATTAACATCGGCTCCCTGTGTGACGTAAAAGTTCGATGATGTGCGCCATGGACTGAGTGTCTCTTTTTTTTTTGGCCACCCCTGACGGATGTTCTCTTCAGAATGACTGTAGTATACTACCTAGCCCTACCTCACAAAGGCACGCTCATAGCTTTGAAAACCAAACGTGGCTTTTTAGACCAATACATGGTTGCATGGCAAGTCGCAATCGACTCGTGGATAAACTACATGGAAATAGTGCAACTGACAAAGGCAATAATTATAAGTGATACGAAGCAAATATTGCACCTAAATTTTAACTTTCATTAATTATTATTTTGTAATAAACTGACAGCAGAGCGATAGCGAGGTGTCGATAGCCCCGCCTAATACAAAGGAAAAGCAAACCATCTGCATAACTGCAGTCTAAAGATTATTACTAGTGTTTAGATAATTGTACAATCGATAAGTTCTATACCGAACCCACTGAATCTTCCATTACCCCTGTTTATGAACCCTCCTGCTGTTCAGCCCCCAGTACCACCGCTAAACTGTAAGTAGTAATTCGATGCCCAACTTGTTTTCAATGCAGTCTCCAACAACTCTTCTTTCCGACAAAAAAATCTTTATCGTGCCATAAGAGTTCAATCACGGCAAACTTGCTAATTTAGGACTATTTTTGGTCGCCAATTAGCCTAAGCTTACACGAACTGAAATCACTTGAACCCAACCCCGGTTATTCTTTCAACACCTTCGACAAGCTGGATCGCACTCGTGCGTGCTACCCAGCACGTTCCGTAAAGGATTAGTTTGAGACTTTGAAGTCAGCTGCTATATCATATCTTGACATCGCACCAAACTATTTCGCGTGGGGTAATTAATGTGTCTATGAGGCATGCTGTCAGCCGCGTCCTATTGCTTCCATGCACGGCGCATAACACTTCTTCTTCGTGATCACAGGGTCCAAACGTTGAAGCAAGTTCAAAAATTTTGTACCGACTCCCTCGCCCTGCCTAGCAGGCCTAAATACGTTCACTCCCCCCCCACCGACTCAGGGTCGAAAACCTAACCGTTGTGTGCTCCTTCGAAATTTATTCTTATTCGACCCCTCCATCAACCCTGCCAACTACAATAAGCTATTTCTCGTCAACACCACAAGCGTAATAAAGCGTAAACATACTACACCGATCGTGGCTGTAGGTTAAGCTGCATCCTGACCATAATATTCGCACTCTCGAGCCACCCTTCTTCTCCGCGCCGAATACGATCCCCCTCTTGGACGTTGTCCAACGGACGGTTGACCCTGTCGATGCGCTTTCTCCTTATCGTAATCACTCCCTTCAACCTAAGTGTCTCACTTCACAGCCGCGCCAAAAAAATATGTAAGCAATCATGTCCAAAACCTCAGTGTTTTGAACATGGTCAGCTTAAAGGAGACCCTAATAAAACTCAGTAAGATCATTTGAATATTCGCTAACCAAGACCACGCAAGAAGTGATTTCCATGAAACCTGATCAGATGTCCTGGATCATCGCCGTATATGGAAAATATTGAAGGAGACGCGGAGATGTGCGGGCACCTGAAATGCGATCATGACAGGACGCGGATAAAAGCTTTCAGTTCAGATGTTCGAAGGAGATCTAGAAGAAGGAAGTATGAAGCTTCGGAATCCTATCAGAACCATGACGTATTATTTTCTGAGTGCTTGCAGTCGCACTATCCGTCCGAAGAGTGGACGCTATATTCCCAATGAACGCAGAAGAAACAATGTATTTCGAAATACGGAAATCGGAATACTGAATCGAAATTCTGAACCACAAACTAAAAGCATTGAGGCATACCACACAGATATGGGGAGCGCTGTGTTGGCACGAGGTTTGCGTTCTCGAAACCGTTTTGCAAAATAATTCTTCCAACTTAAAAAGATCGGAGAAGCCTAAGCGGCTCAGGTATTAAAAGGCTTCAGGTGCGCGAGCGATTTTCAAAATTTTGCTGCCACCCCCTATGTTTCTACCCTTCTATTCTCTTAAGTTATCCAAAGAGTAGCCACCCAATCTTGCAATAGCGCTATCCCTTAGTATAACAAAAAAATTGAAAACGTTTGTGATACGCAGACCTCTAGTAAACTTTACCAAAGCTAAATGAAGTTTTATTAGGCGTGAAATAATTATCCCTGATGAGTAAGTTCTTCGTGCAATGCAGTACGTGTATTCTCCTCAGTGGCTTCAGAGCCGAACATCCATAAGATGATGTGAGTGATTGTCGCTTTCTTGCGTCCCTTGAAAATCTGTAGTTTGCCCTTCCTACGGAATCACTCTCACCAAAAGGAAGGGATATAGAAACTTTGCCGCGTCAAGTGACCGCTAGAGCATGCGAGCTCAACATATATGTCCTTCATACATGAAAGCTCATTGAACATGGCGCGCAACGTGCCGCTCGAATGAATGCTGCATGTTGAAGCCCGCGAATAAATAAGGAAACCTAGAAAACTAAAATCCGAATGGTTTCCAAATCCCCTAGTATCTTCGACAAATTTTGTCCCTCAACCACCCCTTCCTCCTTCATTTCTTTATCTTCTAGTTATTCATCAGCCAAATTTTTATGGTGAAAATTACTGGGTTTGATCAATAAATTGACTGTAAATTCTGAACCGATTTGTAAAGGGTGACGGCGAACTATGGCGTGCCACCCCCAACCTCCCCCCCCCCGAACTCCTGTCTCACCGGCACAACTCTGCACAGGACGGGTTAGACTGGACCGAACTTGGACATCGTGCTTACTTCAGTGGATTGCAACCATTATGCCACCGCCCCATGCTTCATCTTAACTCAGCTTTCAATGCAATAAATGCATTTATCGTCACTTAACATGGTTGGCTCGACCCAGGCGACAAGTGAAAAGTACTCTTAAGTAAGTACAACCCAATGTTTGATTTTACAGTGCTAAACGAAAGCGCCAGCTGAAGGGCTATCTTTTTCGGTCACCATTTCTTTGCATGCGAGGATGGGCCACTCGGGCAGGAGCCTTTTGGCACCGGAATTGCTTGCCCTGGATATCGAGAAGATTTCAAAGCACAATTTTGCTCATTGAAAAACCTACCTACCGTCCCCAGAATCTGACTTATTCATGGCGTATTCTCAAGTTAAAGATAAACTCCGTCAGAGAGCCTACCTCCTCGAGCCGGAGTTCGGAAAATAAACAAAACAATGAAAACGAAGCTAACCTGAAACTCTCATACGGTCGGATTGTTATCCGCCGTTCGCTCATTCGCCGCGGAACACTGAAGCGCTTGTGCCAGTCTCGTTTCGGTTCCTCGAATGCCTCCTCTGGTAATTGCTCCGATGGCGGAGACAAATTTATGGTCATCTGAAATTGAGTCGCATCAAATTACGTAAGCTCTCGAAACGACTAATTACATACGACAAGCACGAAAAAGCAAATATCGATCAAATACATTGTTTTGCAAAAGTGACGGAGCACTTGTGGAAAAAATCAATGATGCGATACTCAAAGCCACATTTTGCGAGGAGCACCAGTGCAAGGAGTGAAGGAATGGGAATCATCGAAAAGCGCCCTTCTAGCGCACGGCCGGCGAGCGTGAAAGACAGATAGTCTGAAACACTGGATGTAAAAGACAAAAGGACAGGCGCGAAAACGAAAGAGCACAGTAGACAAGCGAGACGCAGACACGCACTCGTTCGCAGCAGTGTTCGTTGGACGGCCATGGACCTTCAGCGCTGCTAGCATACGCGTTCAGCCGCAAAAGAAGTGACACCATCTCTATGGTTGTGGGCCCAGCTATCTCACTAACCCGGGAGAAGGTTTCAACAAATCTGCTTTTTTTGATTTCTGTGAAATATACTCCCAGAAGGATCAAGGATTTCTTCGAGTTGCGTATGGGAATGTGTAGAGTATTTTGTTGCCTAACATCACCTACCGATCTCCGAAGGGAATTTTCGGAGTTTTTGTGAAGTTACAAGAATTTTTGTGATAGAATCCGATTTTTTTGGTTTTTCTAGCAATGAGTCGAAAAATTCGATCAGGCATCTCGCCAACCAATGAGTTCTCTAACACATCAACGATGTGTTAAAGTACCGATTGGTGTGCGCATCTACCGATTTTTTTTACGAATCGGCGCTATCGCAAGATGCAGGGGCATTGTGTTGGCAGTGTATTTGAGACCGCGTGAAACATGTTCTTTTTGTTGAAAACGGACTAAATTTCAGGCGGGGAGAGAGCCTAGGATGCCCTGCTGAGCTTAGTCTTAGAAAATGCCCCCTTATATTGCGATTGCGCCTGCGAATCTGCATCACTAGCTTCTACTTCACTGAGATTTCGTTTTTGGAAATAAGGAACTATTATATACTTCGTGTCCAATAATGCATGTGGATATTTTTGAGGCATAAAAATGGAGGCACAAACTGAGCAAAACGAGTCTGCTCCGAATGGAAATGTAGGCCGTACGTGTCCCGCACAGTCGTCAGTGTGCTAAAGGACGTCTATGGCAAGGAAAACAAAGACGTTTACGATGAATTTGCGCTTTATGGCTTTACTTTTGTGTTCGTAAGACGTATGAAAACCGTCAAATGTCGAGTGTTCTCATGATGTTCTCATTGTGAACTAACAAAATGGCACGTTCCCTGCAATGACATCTGAAGCCGGCGCTGTAGATGAATTGACGCCGAGCATGAAATGACAACAAACTGTGATAAAGGGAATAAGACCTTCTCCGCAGCGTTAATCCAGCGCCATCACAGGGTCCGCTGAGAAGAAGAACAGACAATGGTGCTAAATGCGAGATAGCTACTGTAAGCGAATACGGTAGAATGAAATGCGGAGCAGTGAAAGCGTAGTGGGCGACTGCGCCGTGCAGATGAATTTCGTGCAGAATTGGAAACTGATATGAGTGAGCACAAAGACAAAGGCTTAGGTGAGATTAGTGTACACTGCAATTTTTACTCACACCAACATTCCTACAGAAAAGAAAAAACCGATTAGACCAGACTGAGGGGGCGGGGGGGGGCTATGCAAAGCCTTGCCAGACTCCAGTTTCTGGTTCGATTTCGACAAAAATTTGCGTGATCAATCCTTTTTTTGGGATGCGGCACGCATTCTACTTCCATTTGTACATTCGCAGTGGCGTTTGAATGCGATGTGGCCTATACAATGACTTGCGGGGGCCAGCCGATGTACAAGTCAGTGTTTTTATCCTCCCAGACAAGTCTGGTACCAATTAACCGACCCCGGAGGGATGGAAGGCTTGGTTGGCCCGGGCGACTCACGACCCAGGATTTGATCCCCGGACCGCTCGCGTGGTAAGCGTGCCACTTCCCCCACTACCCAATCACCGCTGCGCTCTGTCAGACAAATTACACTGAGTAATTGAGAAGATTCGGAGTTAAAGACCAGAATTTACACAAGAGACAAATTTCTCAAAAGCTATGTAAGGCCCCATCTATCGTGGTCTACTGCAAGTTTAGTTTTAAGTCAGGCTCATCATCAGTTTCTGATGACCTGATTGCCTCCTCACAAACCCCTTCAGAAGTTATAGTTAACCCATTTGAAGCATAGGTGAGACGATGCAGCCTAGAATATGCAGCAATTAGTAAGCATTGCGGTAAGCAACGGTAAGCTTTGTAAGTCCTAATTCAGAAGTTATGTTATTTTTCAAATAAAGTGGCGCTCGTTGAAAAGAGCGGAACAAAGCAGCGCCACAGGACTCACAGTAACGACGGCGACGGTGTAAAGTGCCACCGTCGCCCGCCTTCATTATGTTGAGACTCTACTTGTGCTTGTCGCCAGATGAAAGTTTGGCAATTATTTCAAAGGGAATGATAAAACAAAACTTGGCTATTATCAGGTGAAAAAAGTGTTATTGAAGTTTTTGATTCTCTATTTCGCAGTACAACATTGAGGCTCGGTCGCAAAACAACAACATTGACTTCTTTGATGGTCGGGCATCATTTTGTACGCAATGATTCTTCGTTAAGGGACCGTTCACAAAGGCAATAATATTGTAGAATTATGTGCCCTAACAATAAGTAGGAACGATGAAACAGAAAAAAATATACGAAAAAATAGTATAAAGGATCATCAAAAAACAGTAGAAAAGAAAAAAAAGAAGATAGTAAGTGTAGTAGAACAATATAAACAATAAAAAAAGCATGAAGCATTCATTTGCCGTTGACCGACCCTTTCGGGATGCGGCACGAATTGTACTGCACGATTTGGCCTAACAATAACTTGCGGGGCCCAGCCGATTGAACAAGTCAGGTTTTTATCCTCCCAGACGGAAAGCGTAGTGGGCGACTGCGGCCGTTGCCAGACGTAATTTTCGTGCAGAATTGGAAAACTGATATGAGTGAGCACAAAGACAAGGCTTAGGTGAGATTAGTGTACACTGCAATTTTTACTCACACCAACATTCCTACAGAAAAGAACCGATAGAGCAGGACTGGAGGGGGGGGGGGGCTATGCCAAAGCCTTGCTAGACCTCCCAGTTCTGGTTCGATTCGACAAAAGCATTTGCGTGATCAATCTTTTTGGAAGCGTGGCACGCGATTCACTTCCTCATTGTATATTCGTAGTGGCGTTTAAATGTGCTTTGGCCTAGTCAGTGGCTTCCTGGAACCTGCCGGTGCGTTTTTATCAACCAGACAAGTCTAGTACCAATTAATCGACCCCGAAGGGATGGAAGGCTTGGTTGGTCCGGAAGAAGCACGACCGAGGATTCGATCCCCGCACCGCGCTCGTGATAAGCGGGCCACTTCCCAATCATGGCTGCCGCCCTGTCAGACAAATTACACTGAGTAATTGAGAAGATTCGGATAAAGGACCAGAATTTACAACAGAGAAAATTTCTCAAAAGCTATAAGCTCCATCTTCATCGTCTACTGCAATTTAGTTTAGCTCAGGCTCATCAACAGTTTCTGATGACCTGATTGTCTCCTCACAGACCCCTTCAGAAGTTATAGTTAACCCATTTTAGAAGGCATAGGTGAGAGGATGCAGCCTAGAATATGCAGCAATTAGTAAGCATTGCGGTAAGCAACGGTAAGTCGGTTCAAGTTCTAACTATGTCAGAAGTATGTTATTTTTTCAAATAAAGTGGCGCTCGTTGAAAAGAGCGGAACAAAGCAGCGCCACAGGGCTCACAGTAACGACGGCGACGGTGTAAAGTGCCACCGTCGCCCGCCTTCATTATGTTGAGACCTGTGACGCTGCTTTGTCGCCAGATGAAAGCTTGGCAATTATTCAAGGGATGATAAAACAAACTGGCTATTATATCAGGTGAAAAAGTTGTTATTGAAGTTTTTGATTCTCTATTTCGCAGTACAACATTGAGGCTCGGTCGCAAAACAACAACATTGATTCTTTGATGGTCGGGCATCATTTTGTACGCAATGATTCTTCGTTAAGGGACCGTTCACAAAGGCAATAATATTGTAGAATTATGTGCCCTAACAATAAGTAGGAACGATGAAACAGAAAAAAATATACGAAAAAATAGTATAAAGGATCATCAAAAAACAGTAGAAAAGAAAAAAAAGAAGATAGTAAGTGTAGTAGAACAATATAAACAATAAAAAAAAGCATGAAGCATTTCATTTGCCGTTGACCGACCCTTTCGGGATGCGGCACGAATTCTACTTCCATTTGTACATTCGTAGTGGCGTTTGAATGCGATGTGGCCTATACAATGACTTGCGGGGGCCAGCCGATGTACAAGTCAGTGTTTTTATCCTCCCAGACAAGTCTGGTACCAATTAACCGACCCCGGAGGGATGGAAGGCTTGGTTGGCCCGGGCGACTCACGACCCAGGATTTTATCCCATGCCGGGAGCAGGCGCATGGTAGGCGTTGCCACTTGCCACGTAACCAGTGCGCCCCACAGTCATAAACAGGGAGAAAAACAGAAATTTGCATCAAATCATCACACTGTGTGATGCTGGCCTCGGCAGTCGCGTTATCAGGTTTCGGCTGCATTTCGCTGCCTATGGTCTATTCCGCAATCCAGTAGTTCAAACAGCCTGTTCTGGGCCAGTTGTTAGGGCGGCTGCGTGTTTTGAGCACATTACCGGCTTAAGCCAAACTTGCCTAGATGGTTCTATGGAGTTCTTTCCCCATGTCTAATTTACTGGATATTTTAGTAAGTCAATCGATTATGCCTCTAATTAAGGTACTATCTTATCACTCTGCTTGTCACCACTCTGTGATTGACCAACAAATAAATGAATAAAAAGACTTTGTGTTCTTGAGGGGAGGTCGTGCTTGTTGAAACGAGACGTATTTGTCGAAGCCATGCACAAAATTCAAGAAAAATCTTGAAAGCTCCAGAAATAAAGTGAACGATACCTACATACCTT